AGCAGGGGCAGCAGCACCCTCTGCAGCAGCATACGCAGCGTACGGGTACAACGTCTCGAAAGGTACGTGGGGAAGGGGAGGCAGCAGACTGCGCAGAGCAGAACCAGCCACATGAGTCTGGGTGGTGATTCTTTACAGCCTGTCAAAAAATAGGTTAAGTATTGTTGGTATTGCTTGTCCGTTACATTCTGAGATCCAGGCAATACACAGTGTGACATGGTGATGGTGTGAGAGGATAGCCAGTTCCACTGCAGATGACCGTGAGAGGCTAGCCCTGCAGAAGTTTCGTATGCCCTTCGAATTACCTCATACCAAATACTTTTCCTCTTTCTTGTTTTTTACTTTGGTGTCCAGATAAATTGAATATTGTTTATCCCATGTTCATGGCTGTGGCTTTCCTGTATTGCCGTCATGTTTAAGTTACAGCATCAGGTTCTGAAATCTGCTAAACTGATGGTGATGGAGCTTCAGCTTTACACCAACTGAAGGTGGCCCAGGGTATAACTAGCAAGATGATTTGTATCTTAAGGACATCTCTCTTAATTAAACTCTGATAAATCATGAATACAGGGTGGTCTTGAGACTGATTGTTGGTATATTGTTTGTTGTTGAAGAGCCACAAGTGGAATAATATGCTTACATGGCATTTGATCCTTTTTTTCTGTTGCTAGGCATGTCTGCAAGTAGCCCTCTGCAAACTGCAATTATTCGGCCTTCTGGACTTGCAGATTTTGGACCTTCAAGCGCCTCTTCTCCCTTGAGCTCCCCTTTGAGCAAAGGAAACAGTGTTTGTGGGACCCCCAAAAGCTTAAACCTGACCAGCAGTCTCATATCAGAAGCTCCAATTCGGAAGCAAAGCAAAGGTGCCCACACCTCAGGTAGTCGGTAGTAATCTTGAACCCCCAAAGCTTGTCTGGACTGCGTTGGCTTTTAGAGCAGACCACCCTGCCAGCTGAAGGCATGCAAACGAATGCCTTGTTGCTGTCCAGCGCGTGTCTGAAAAGAAAATCAAAGCACAATGGGAGTGGGTGGTTTATGTGAGCACTTTGATTATGTGTATTCCAAAAAACTATGTTTGCAGACACTGCGAGAAGGGGGAGGGAAGGACTCTGGGGTAGCTGGGAGAGTGTCAGCCTGTCTTTTATTGACACATCTGACAAAGATTCCCAAGAAAGCATCCAGCTGCTCCATGCAATATCCTGCAGCTCTGTGTGCTTGAAGTCACACCAACGTACTTGCTCTCTTCTAGCCTGAGGTGGAACCCAGCGTTAGTTTTATCCTTTGAAACCATTATCTGAACCTCCTGTCAAGTCACAAGACATTTTCGTACTGGCAGCTGGTCAGTGTACACGCGGGGGTAGTTGGGGGCTAAGCTGAAGATGTTGTGTGATCAAAACAAATCTTGGATTCTTCTAGCATGGACCTCTGGGCTCTCTAAAAGTTTGAAAGGCAAAGGAAGGTGTCTCAGGTGATTTCAAGGGAATGGACTCTTTCCAGCACCATCTGTCAGGAGCAGGTTCAGAGCCGCAGAATACAGAGAGCGCTGGCAGGCCTGTTTAGAGCAGCAGCACTGCCTCTGCTTCACGCAGTGGTAGAAGCCCCAAGCCAGTGATTTTGTTTGCATTTCAGAGTTCTCATCAGCATGAACACTCAGTGTGTTCAGAATGATTCCACTTACTCTTGAGGTGTGCAGAATTCTTGAAAGCTTAGAAACAAAATAAGGCTCTATTTGTACAAATCTCAAGAAGAGGGAAAGCTGAAGTGCCGAGGAGGAGTTTGCTGCTGCTCCTCTCACAATACCACCGTGAGTGTGGTTCTGCAGCTTGCAGAGGGGAGCAACAAAAACCAGTCCTGAGAGAAAGAGAACTGTGCCATTCTCCCTTCCAGCCAAATCCTGGGGAAAAAATTGTCTCCTATCCCGGCCATCCATTGACTGTTCTTCCAGTGTGTTTTCCCTTCATCTTTGTGATCATCACACATACGAGCTTGGTTGAGTTCACTGCAGTGTGCAGGTACCAGTAGCCATGTCCCATAATGCTGACAGAAGGCAGTGCTGCCAGTGCCCATCTGTGTTCTCGTTCTCTGGTTGCTCCTTCCCCGTTCTCAATGCACACATACACACACCCCTCCCCCGTAGCCCCTTGCTTTGCTGTAAGCATCGTCTGCATTGCACTGAGATTTAGGTGTGGGGCAGTTTTTCTGTCTGACACATGGAATTAAAAGGCTGTTCTGCCGGGGCACTTTCATCCCTTGAGAGAGAAGCAAGTTGAGTTGCAGGTCTGGGCTGTGACAGCAGAAGATGACTTTTTTTATTATTATTATAATTTTTTTCCAACCCCAAATCCTTTGCCTGGCGTCCTACAGTGTGGAGCGAGTGCTTCCTGTTGGCTCTGCCTCTAATTTGCACACCTGAAAATAGCAGAACTGAGCTTAGTTAGATTGATTTTTAAACAGATTTGCAGGGGATAATTGAGGGGGAGGTGGCGTTTAATTAACTCATGAGGACTTCCCCCTTCCCCTCCTATTCACATGTATATATGATATTTAGAGGGAATCAGACAAATGCCAAGCCTTTTTTTCTCTTTGAATGTGCTGTCTATTTTTATAACTGAACTTGTACATATGTATAAAGAGAGACACATCTTTCTTTTACTAACTGGAGAAGAAAATCTTAAATAAAATGGAGTGAGATAATTTTATCTAAATCAGTGTCTTTGTGTTTTTAATGCATGGAGTTGTATGAATGAGAGGATTAGGGAAGAGAGCAAAGAGGGTGCACTTCTGGAAATTCATCTAGAGACATATGCTGCTCAAGGTACTGCTCTAGAGTGTCTGCACTCCTCCGAGTATCACGTTTGTAACCTTTTTCCAGTTACAACTGCACACTTACCACATGTCTGTATTCGCTAATTATCTCGTAATCTGTTTTGCAGTAGGTATGCAGCAGATCACGAGAAAACAGAAGCAAGTGTAATATGCATAATTACATAGTACCTGAACTATGATGGTTGAATTCAATACAGTTGATCGTTTTGGGACATCATTGCCTACAGTTTTTTCTTTTCTTCCTTTTTTTTTCTTTCAGTGGGAGTTGAAAGGACTTTTTTGTGTGCAGTCTTGATTTTCAAACTGCTAGACAGTTGCATCAATTTTTAATCCAAAGTGGAGAGAAAATAATTTGTAACTTGAAAAGATTGCAAAAATGTAATATGTACTATTGCGTGCTATACTTTTGGAAGATTAAATTATTGCTATTTTAAAGTGATAACAATATGTTTAAAGTCATTTAATCTTCAAAAGAATTACCAAATGACATCACAGTTCGTGTCGAAAACAGTGGTAGCCTATCTTCTTGCGAAACTTGCATCAGGCTAACAAGTTCAGGAAGATCTAATGTGGCAGTGAAGTAAATCAACTGCTAGGTGGTATCCATTTCAATTGCTGTAAAAAGTTAAACAGATGTGTTCTTTGTATTATGCATCATAGAAGAAGTGAGATTCTGTGATATTAGTGAAGGAATTAGGAATAATTCATGTGACTGCTGTTCTATTCTAATTTCTTGATTTGGGTAAGGAAGCAGTGCTGGAAAGACAAAGACTGGAAATTCTTTTAAGGAGTTGGACATAGTTTTGTGATCGACACTGTGGGGAATGCTTCTGTTGAAGTGAGTAAAATGGACACACGCACTGAAGCTTTGAAGTTTCAGTCTGAGCATCTCTGAGCATTGTGACTGTGTTGTCCACTTGTCTTATGGACTAATGGCAGAGAGAGTCACTTTCCTTTGAGGGATCAAGGTATTTGCTGGTGTCAGAAACAGATAACTAGATGAACTGGGTTTGTGCTTTAAGCTGGAATGGTGAAATAGATGTCAGTATGTTTTGGGGGATGTTTGGAATTCTGTGTATTCCTCATGTATTTGATTATAGCATTTTACTCACCAGTTACTACAAAACTGTTAAATACAGTTCACTGGTTAATACTACTGTTGAAGACATTTAAAGGTGATAATTTTCTTAAGTCATCTAAGAAGTCAGGACTAAAAGGTGCTGCCGTGTCCCACCCTGACACGCATTTTCGTAGTTCAGCCTGGCAAGGGGTCTCTAGTTCAGAAGGGTCCTCAGAACACCCATTCTTCCCACTGCCATGTATGGTCAACAGAGTCTTACCATGCACTGCCAAAATTAAGTCTTAAAGACCAAGAACAGCAACTGCAGTATTCTTTTGGAAGAGAGAAAGAGTGACTAAAACCATCACCTTCTCTCAAAAAAGATTGCAGGGTAGTTGAAACAGGAGAAAGGGATTTGCTTCTGACCTCTAATGCTGAATATAACCCTTAAGCACGTGGACAGGACGTAACCAGCCAGGCCACTGATAAAATGCGACATTCTGAGCCCCAGTGCAGTTTTCTCTGTCTTCTCTCTGGATGTGGGCAATCATCAGCACCCTAGAGGATGGCCAAACCAAGCAAAAAAACGGGAAAAAAAACTGAGCCAAATGATGCATCAAAGAAGCGAGAGAAAAACTGCTCCTTGCTCACCACAGACAGGTTGTGAAAGCCAACATGTAGGATTATTATGTTATATAAATACAGTGCTCCAGTATCCTCTCAGCTCCTCTTCAGAATGATGTGTATCAGATAGACGTGGACTTGCCATCGCACCATCCTCAGAAATTCTTCTGTTCAGCTGTACAGTCACTGCGCGGTCCCTTCCACACAAACTCTTACCTTCTTAAAAGTGGTTTCATTCCTTGGCTTCATGGTGTCTTCAGAATTCTTCTAACTTCCTTTTTTAATTATCTTGTGATCAATTGGAGTCCATCTAAATCAAGAGGAGATTAATTAGTCTGCAAGCCATTTTCTCTTTCTGTTGTGGGTCAAGTCTGTTGTCCTCCTTATTTAGTCACCTACTAGATCTCCTCTTCCTATTCTGCAAAGAGATAAACAGGTTACTGCAGGAGGGTTTTCGCCTAGAACTGCTTAAATTCCCAACTTCAGAATGTTAATGCTGCCCTGTCCAAACGTAGTGTTATTTCTGTGCCTTCTCCCATTTCTGTTGCATGCTTTCCCCGCCACAGTGGATCTGCTCTTTGCTATCTCATACTCTGTTTGTGGAAAGCTGCCTGGCTGCCTTGGGCTATATTTTGCTTTATTCCCATTTTCCCAAAGCATTTCCTTTAGCAGCATTTCCCAGTGGGGGAGGCACATAGAGCTCGATGGGAAGAGCTCTGTGCAGAAGGAACGGGCATCTCTGCACTATTCTGATCGTATCTCAGGAACAGTGGAGTTTCAGTTGGGAGGAGGAAGAGCACAGCTGATAAAATCACTTGGGGGCAGGATGTGGATCAGTGTAATCTGGGAAATGCTGCCCTGTGACTGCTGCGCTGCCAGTCCTGATCTCCTGCTCTCTGTTGAGCGAGCTGGCCTGCTGCTGCTCCCAGATGTACTGGCAGGCTCCACAGCTTCTCACTTCTGCCTCCATCTTTACTTTTTGTCGACTACTCAGTCTGAAACGCACATTCTAACTCTGAGGGAGCCTTACAGGCATGTCTGGTGCTCCCTTTCCCGCTCAGGAAGGGATGGTGATGTGCTCCATGCTGTCCTTTGGAAATTTCTGCTTGAGTGGCCAGAAGAAAACAATTTGTAGCTCCCTACCCAAAGGGTTGCTGCTTGCATGTGAAGTATAACTGAGACGTAAATGCTGAAATAAGGCAATTGCATCTTACACTCCCTAGGCATAAGCACTCACTGAGTTCGAAGGAGTTTTCATGATTTGCAGCCTGCACTAGGTGCGTAGCGGTGAATGAGAGAAGGGAAGGGGCAATTCATCCTTTCTCTCAGGAGTGTCGTTGTTAGGATGATACAGATGGCCCAGCTCTCAGATTCAGCTA